AATGTCATATCTAAAATTGATAGTAATCACAACAAAGTAGTAAAAGAAAATAGAGAATACATAAAATGTTTATTGGAAACTCTTCTATACTGTGCTTACCAAGGTATCCCAATTCGAGGGCATAGAGAAAATGAAGATTCTGAAAACATGGGAAATTTTTTAGAACTGATGAAGTTACGAGCAAAAGATAATAATATCTTGGATCGTTACTTTTTACAAAAAGAGAAATCTTTCAGATATGTGACTGGTACACATACTAATGAATTTATTAGTTTAATGGCTGCGTTTGTAACAAAAAGCATAATCAAGGACATACAATTGGCTGGTATTTATAGTATATTAATTGATGAAACACAGGATCTCGCTAGGCACGAACAAGTATCATTCATCATACGTTATGTTGATGGTAATTTAAACCCCCATGAAGTTTTCATAGGATTTTATAGAACAGCCAGAACTGATGGTGAGTGTTTGACTAATTTAATAAAAGTAGTGCTCAATAGTTATAATCTTAGAATTGAAGATTTAAGAGGTCAATGTTATGACGGTGCAGCTTCTATGAGAGGGTCTTATAATGGTGTTCAAGCCAAAATACGAACTGAAAATCCATTAGCATTTTATGTTCATTGCCATGCACACATTCTAAATCTTTGTTTGGTTGATTTGGCTAAACAAGTTTCATATGTGAGAAATACATTTGGGACATTAAAGACTTTGCATAGCTTTATTGGTGCCTCTTCTAAAAGATATCAAATATTTGAGCAAATACGGACTAAAATGGGCGATAAAATTGGACCAAAAACTTTAAAAAGTTTGAGTGACACGAGATGGAGTTGTAGGATAGATGCATTAGACTCAGTTGTATCCAATTTTACAGTCATTCTCAAAACTCTAGAAGACATATCAGAACAAGATTCAATAAATGGATCTGATGCTTCTTCGTTGCTTTTTTCTATATCAAACTTTGAATTTGTGTTCTGCATAGTTTTTTTAAATGACGTGATGCGAGAAACTAATATCTTGTCAAAGTATTTGCAATCCCCTAATATTAATTATGCAAATGTAAATACAATGACACTTCAAACAGTAGCTATTTTAAGTGAGCATAGATCAGTTACAGAATTCGATAAAACTTGGAACAAAGCTATGGAAATAACAAAAAAAAACAATATTAGCTCTCCAAAACTTCCCAGAAAAAGAACTATTCCACTAAAATTGGGAGGAGGTCAAGTTAATTCCACAGACATAACAAGTGTTCAAGATATGTATAAAATTAACATCTATTACATTGTTTTAGATATTGTAATAAAAGAAATACAAGACAGATTTAAAGAAAACGATCTTAATATACTACAAGCTATGAAGGATGTTATTATCAGTGAAAAACCGGAAAATAATTCAATAAAATTAGTATGTGAAACATATAACTTAGATTTTAATGAAGTCACTATTGAGCTTGCTATGTTTAATCGAATGTTCAAGACAAAGTATGATGAGTTTAACATCGATAATAAAATAGCATATTTGTTATGTGGTGATATACAAATAGGATTTACAAACTACACAAAAATTATAAAAATATTTTTGACTATACCAACAAATACTTCCTCTTGTGAAAGAACATTTTCCTGCTTAAAACGCCTAAAAAGTTACTTAAGAACCAGCATGGGACAAGAGCGCTTAAGCGGGTTAGCATTATTACAAATTCAAAGAGAAGTGCCAATAGATTTTGACAAAGTAATTGATGAATTTGTTTCGAATGGAGTAGGAGGTAACAGAAAACTCACACTAAAATAACAAAAAATAAAACCTATTCTTTCTTTTATTTGTTAATAAAGTAATTAAATTATTTGATGGTAATTTATTTATTATTTATTGTTCCCCAAGCATAAAATATGTCAATATGTGTATATAATATTTATACTACTTACCTACTTTTTAAACTACTCATAGCACATTTTATTAATGACCTCTCTAGGTACTTAATAATATTTAACAATATGGGTAACTGTTACCTACGGGCTACAATTTGTTTCTAACATAGACAGTATAAACATATTATTCATATTATTAAAAAAAAATTAACCAATTTTATTAATTTAAAAATCGGTTTTTAATAACCATGAAATGTAGGATCAATATTAACCGATTTTTTAAACCGAAAAAAATTAAAGAAGAACTAAAACCATTAACCACAAAAATCATTTCGGTTTGAAGCCTTGGTTTTAAGACTAAATCAATGTAGGGGTCAGGGACTCAGGGTTTTGATTATGGTGAATAAATTACATTGCCCCCCCTAGTTTTTTATCCAGTTACGCCACTGTCTGCAAGAGTCAAGTGATGATGAACAACTCGAAAAAAAATATATCAAGTACGTATTAACAGATAAACTAATAAACGAAACTTAATTTATTCAAATCACTTAATTTGTAGATAAATCAATTTTTAGAAGAAAAGAAAAAATAATTTTGAAAAGAGAAGTAGCAATCACCAATCTTCAAATACAAGCTGCAAAAATGTTGCGAACTTCAAAACAAAAGTTTCAGCCGGCTAATGTTGGAGAAACTGTCTGTATTCGAGTTCTAAATGTTGATAGTAGTAAAATGGATCCCCAAAATATTTTAGCTGTAGTATTAGATATAGTAGATAATGATTTTTATAAATTAGCTACCAAAAACGGTGTTATAAATCGATTATACACCAGAAACCAGTTTTCAGTGTGTAGAGAAAATTTAATATCAATCACTGATGTACAAAGGGATGTACAAATTTCTTTAAGGGAAGCTTCTACATCAAATTCATAGATTGGTGGGCAAGGATATACAAGATGTAACTGTAAAACAAAGTGTACTACAAAAAAATGTAAATGTAGTAATGTTAGCATTTTATGTAGTACACAATGTATGGACAGTTTGTCAAGCTATAATAAGTAATATTATAAAAAAATCATAATTTAAATACCTAATAATAATACAATTATAATATTGTATAATATTGTTTAGTAATAATAGTAATAATAATAATTAATTTTTTTGATTTAATTAAACATATTATGTTGTTTCTACTTTATGATATAAAATATATTCAACTATATGTATAGTACTTTAATAATAATATAATATGATATGTGCGAATACGTGCCTACATGTCAACATTAACCAAAATCTTGTTGTGTATGTCAACATTGTCCAAAATCCTAACGTAAATGTCAACATCCACTATTAAATGTCTATATTATTTTAATTTTCAACATTCACCAATTCATTAGGTGTATGTTGACATTCACCAGGTGACTGTCAGCATTCACCAATTGCGGACATTCACAGTAACATATTCATTTAAGGGGGCTGCAGCTCACGTATTTTTCATACGTTTTAGACCAATAAGCGGTGGTAAATTACACATACTTCGGAATGTCCGATTTAAATTTTTTATACATGTTTGAATTCATTGATAAAATATCTAGGTTTCTTAGGAAGTCGA